TTTAGTCGATTTGTTCGTCCGATACAACTTAAAGATTGAGTTGGCTCCCAGCTCGCTCCTTTTCTTCGTTGGATTAATGGTTGACGAACCTTCAAACCCTCCAAATTCTAGGGTTGGACGCAACCAGCATTTTCGACTCGCTTCCATCTGGTGGCTGCTCGCCTCCATTGTTTTGACCAATGTGTACATCTCCTTTCTTGTGACAAATCTTAACGCACCATTTCCTCCAAAGATCTTTGATACCGTGGAATCTCTATATTGCGCAGCTAAAAACGAAAATTTGACCACTAACAAGTTAGGAAGTTGGAGAAAACGATTTGAAAAACGGGGCGAAGGCGATCACGCTTTTCACCCAAATGCCACCCTTGAAATATGGATAATGCAATTGTTCAACTTCAATAATGCCACCTTCTTTCGTAATTTGCACGAAAGTTCAACTTGTTTCAGTATTCTCTCCAATAAAACGCATAAAACTTTAGCGTTTCACCCTTGGAATTATGAGTTACACAAATTTCTTGGACTCATTAAGATGAGTGGCACCGAGTTTCAGCTGGCCCACCAGTTCTACACGCAACCAATGAGGTGGTATCCCAAACATAAGGTCCCATTCGCATCAAAACTCCTTCTGGATGCTATGTCGTACATGGAATATCACAACACGCCTACTTGCAATCCTTGCCGTCATCTGTGATTAACGAGTGGGTCGAGGAGGAAGTCGTAGCCTGTGGGAAATCCGTATTTTTCGCGGAATCGGAAAGAATTGAGCTGCAGCGGCAAAATTTTGAGAGGTCGTACCACAAAATTAAGTTTTACACGGGGAAGGAACCCTTATTAAAAGAGCCGCTCCATTTATCCTTCTTTTCTTCGATTTATTCCAAAATTCCCATACTTTTTCAAAGAGTTACGGAGTCAGGACTGATCCAGGTTTTGTACAATAATTCGATCAAAGCTGAACTTAAATTTGTGATGAACAATACGAAAAGGATTTTAGCGATAAATCCGGAAAGGTATGGACGAGAAGGGGAGAGATTTAAGCCACAGAAATTGGAAAGCAGTTTAGTGACGTTGTTCGTTATTTCTGGGGTATTGATTTGTTTTGGGGTTGTTACTTTTGTGTTTGAATATCCAAATTGGAATGGGGGGTGGTTGATAGAAAGGTGGCTAGACTGGATAAAAAGTATGACAATGAGTAGTAATAATGTAAACCGGAATTTCGAAAGACAGAAAACAATTTGATTTTGATAAGATTTGCACCGTTTGTAGAGGTGATTTTTGTGAGTGCAACGGTAACAATAATTCGGTTCAACTCCGCCCCTTTCCCCGGGGGGAGGGGCCGAAAACCGCAAAAACTGCAAACGGGGACACGGATTTCTCGAAGATGGAAAAAGATATCGAGATGCTAGCTTCACCAAAAGTTTCCTAATTTTTTTCTCTACAACCCGAATCGAGCGTTTTTTGAAATTCGAAAAACAAAATTTCAAAAAATTAACTTGGAAAAATTTTGGATGACAATTTTAAGTCTCACAACACCCCATAAATGGGGTATCGTTGCGTTGGAAAGGTCTCAGCAAGTGGATTCAGAATATATATACTTTGTGTGGTCTTGCACCACCCCCTGATTTTCTAGGGGCCCATGAACATTTTTGAGTTTCCGTCGGTATTTTGCTATGTTAGCTCGTGACGAAAGTAAAGTAAAGGTAAAGTGACGAAAAAATCGCCGTACTACGAACCCTATTCCAGATTACAAAAACGCCCATTACAAAGGACTGAAGCAAGGTTTTTTCAAAATTTGTCTTCGATTACACCAATTTCATGGTCTGTGACCTATTTTTGATGGAAATTCAAAAATCAAAAATCTAGCTGCCAAGGCTTCAAGGTTTGGTATAGACACCGTCATATGCGTTATACCCAAATTATACCCAAATCGTTCTTCATGCTGAGACGCTTTTTTCAATAGTTCCTCCATCTATGTCAGTCCATATCTGTCGTCAAGTACGACGAGCTAGCAATTTTTTCAGGATAATTTAAGATGCGTTTCTTACAACAATGCAGATTTAATTTTTGTAAACTATATCATGCGATATAAAATATTGAGCTACTGTGTAATTATTAGTGATGAAAGTACTGCTCGAAAACACAATTTGTTATTGTATATAATAGCTAATAAATACAAAATTGCATTTTCCTTATTTCACAAAGCCATGTCGATATTAGACAGGATGTGATATTTTATTCCATTTAATTCCTCTGTCCCAAAGTATTGACTATCGATGGAGTGTTTGTTTTGAACCTAATTTCGTGGACGAATGTTATTTCATCTCGTTTTAATAACTGGTCTCGCATTTTTAACGGTTGGTTGGTTGAACGGTTGTTAGGCTGGATAAGAAGTATGACAGACAGGGTGAAGATTATGAATGGGGATATTTTAAATTTGGCCAGGTGGGTTGTTAATAAATATGGGTTGGTCGTTTGGTAGAGTTGTATTAAATTACTGTAGCGTGTCATGTATTTTGGTGTTAATAATTGGGTCGCATTTAATTGCGACCCTAAATGACTGAATGGGATACCCTAAGAACTAAACCCTACGGTGGACTGAATGGCCTACCCTAACAGGTCGAAAATAATAGCTAATAACTGAATCTCGACCCTAAGGTTCTGATAGTTGATTTACATCATTTTTTAGGTAATTACATTAGATTATAATTTATTAAGACCATTTCTCAGAATTGATTCTTAAATTAACCAAAAATTCGTCAACAACAAAGGCTCACTTGCATTTCTTTGGGCTCCCTGGTCCAAGTTGAAACCGAAGAGGTACGTTTTTGCAAATATCAGAGATATTGAAATCTCTGCAGATGTATCCTAGTCTGATTAAATGCTCACAAATATGCTGATTTTTAATTATTTGACAATTATATAGAGAAATCAACTAATTTGATTCTTGTCCTTTTGTGTACGGATTACACACACTCTAAATAAAAATAAGTAAAATTTACTCAAGGTTATAAAGTGGATGACACAACCAAAAGATACAATTTATCCAACCGTTCTAAAAATTGGATTCCAAAATTTTGTCCAAAGTTATGTACGTAAAATTTGTCCAACGGGTGGGTAAATTGTGTACAACGTTGTCTAATGTTCACCTTTTGGTAGTGTCATCCTCTTTTTACTCAATTTTGAGTAAATTTCATTTATTTTTATTTGGTATGTATAATTTAGTTATTAAAATATATTGGGACCTTAGGGTAAAGTTTAAGATAAATAAGGATGGTTATTGGCAAGTTAGGGAAGGCCATTCAGTCCAACGTAGGGTTTAGTATTTAGGGTATCCCATTCAGTCATTTAGGGTCGCCATTAATATTTGCCCTTAATAATTCTACAAAAATCATATGAGTGGATAAAATAAGGACTTAAAATTGTCATGTTGGAAATAATTGTAGAAAAAATATATATGTGCAAACGGTAAACATTTCTACATTATAAAAACTGATGATACGTCCTCTATGACTACTGTATGACTACTGACTTAAACTCAAGCAGTCTACTGAACTCTAAGGACCTGGTGCAATACGAAGATAATAATGTTGCAGAATCCTGAAATGTTTGGAAAGGAAGGGGGAAAATTTAAACGGAAAAAATAGGAAAACAGTGTAATAAATTTGATCATAATGGTGGGGTAACTAATTGGTTTGGTATTTGTTTCTTTTGTACATAGATATATCTAAATACTGATAAGGGAATAGAAATAAATTTATATTCGTGTACATATCAGGGACTGAAAATGAGTACGAGCATGTACTTATTCTTGGCCGACATTTTAATAAAAGTATTTACGATATAATGATACATATTTTTGTGAGAGAAAGTTATCTGCTGTATGAGGAAACAAGAATGAGATTAAAATATGTACCCTTCGGGGCATGTAAATATGCAATGAAAAATGAAATAAGGGTAGAAATTTGTACACATTTTTTTGGAATTTTAGAATTGAGGATTCAAAGAATCTGAGAGGAAATAACAAATTCACTCTGAATACGAATAGTATGATCCGCTCTCTTAACCTCAAAATTTTCAAAATAAAATTTTGTTCAGGAATTTTTTTATTTTATAATTACATTTGTATGTACATCTGACAGCAAACAATTAAAATTCTTATGATTTCCTGTAAAAGACAAATAGTTATTTCAGTTTTTTAAGTAAAATCTTCTTAAAGCTCTTATAAAAAAGGGGATGGAGGTCCTTTTCACTGGGGCGGTCGTCGCTGGGGTTGACGCGACTCTGGATGCTAACAAACCGGATGGGAAACAACTGGTGGTGTACCCCGCGCCGTTTCAGCCGCAGCCACAACCAAACCATGATGAGAGGGGCCTGGGTTTAACACTGTTCATAACTGGTTCATTTATTACCTGCATAGGAATAATAGGATTAATGTGCAGTTTTCTTTTCAAGTGTATTAAGTGTAAACAGGTTCGAGACAATAATCCAATCAACATTGAATTGGGAAATATGGCTTAAATCTGTAACTATTTAGCTATACATTACATTTCATTTACAATTTATACAGATTATTTTAATCATATTCTAATGGAAATTTAATTACTTATTCAAATTAGACAACTTATATTATGCAATCATTTTCTTACTCATGCAATTATGAACTCACTTAACAAAATCGTTAAAGTAGAACTCACTTTAAAATATTAGTATTTTTAATTAAATATTAATTATTTTATTTTATTTATATTACTTAAATTATTATTATGTAACTCTATGGGCCTCGGCCTGGAAGGGTTTAGGATTTAAATAAAAATACTAAAAAAAAATACTAAGTAAAATCTTCTTTTAAAGGCTAATAGGAGAAGGGAATATTTCAAAAGTAGGAAGGAAAATTTGCGAGGGTGCTCCCTTTATAGATTTTGTATTTTTCGTCCCACGGAAAGTAATCTAAATACACGCAAATGTGTATACATATTTTGTCCAAAAAGGATTAATTAAGCAGTCTAGTTCCACTCAGGATCTTGATCAAATTTGGCTGCTGCAGCGGCAAAAGCTCGTTTAAAGGCAGCCAGTTCTCCGTCTGTGCGTGATTTAGTCTGTAGAAGCGTAACAATAAGGTGAGGGTAAATTAGTTAAGAATTTGAAGATATATCCGAAATCAAAAGTATGGAAGTACCGCTATATTTAGGATTTCCTTGACAGGTTCGGTTTCCTAAGGAAAAATGGGTATTTCACAAATCATTTTTAATGGAGGGGAACAACTAACAATGTGATGGTGTGCAGTGTAACGCTTCGATTTGTTTAATATTTTAAAATTGTGCGGACGAAAGTCAATACAACAACGTTTCTTCGGCAGTTTGTGCCGAATTGTTTAAATTAGTCAAGATAATTGAGATCAAAGTTGAAAATTGAGGTGATTTGGTTGACCAAGTTGAAGATGCAAACCCATTCCCTTCGAGGGATAAATCCCCCATTTTTCAACTTTAACCTTGAATGTTTTGACTAATTCCAACCATCGTTCAAAACGCCTCAAGAAACACTGGTTGTATTGAGTTGGACCATACAATTTTAAAATATTAACCAAATCTGAGGGTATAACTTCACACCGTCGCATTGTTAATTTAAATGACAACCCTGACTTCACGTTCTATGCGAATCTCTTCCAATGAAGATGGCCTTGCTTCTGATATTGGTGGTTGGTGATGGCCGTGGTCACCATGATTTTCCGTGTTAATTTGTGTGGGCGGTAGTGGTGCTCGCGATTTCACCGGTGGAGCAACAGCTCGCTCTTTCGGAGGTTGAAGTCGAGTTCGGGGGGACCCTCTCTTCGATGGTCGATAGGCTGGGCGACCCGCCGACTTCTGAACCGCGGGTTCTTCTTCTCCTGTATAAATTTGCTCTCTTTCTCCAATACCATCCGCCACCAATCTTCCCGATGTTTTCGTCTCTTGTCTTGGTCTAAACTGTAGATAGATTTCTTGAAAAAACGACTTACTGGTAACCAATGGTTTCCGCTGGCCTAGTTGCGAAGCACTATTGTGTGCATTTCGGTTACCATCGTATTCCAAGCCACTCGTCTCACCCGATTTAACGGATTTTTCAGGATTAATCCATTCTATTATACCGTCTAGTACGTTATTCATCTTCCTAAGAGGTTTTGGAACCGTGGTAAGAGTTGCATTCCGATGCACTACGTTCTCTGTGTAGCAAGAGTCTGCCGAAATTTGGGAAGTTTCCATCATTTGCCTTAACATCCTCCCACTGTGTTTCATCTTACACAAATTCTTGATGAGTTGGTCCAGCTCAGGGGAAGTAAGTGGTGGCCCGCTACATTTTTGCTGCATCGCTACTTCTAAAATTTTCATTTGATCCCGGTAATTAGCCTGCATTTTCTGCAAACCTTCATAAACTTTGGGATTCCCTCCCCCCGGACTGGCCATCTTATTCCACTCTTCACGAATGAAATGCTCCATGTACGCATCCATTGCATTGTTAAACGGCGTGATGGCGTTAACCCGCAAAAATTTGGCGAACTCGATACTTGCTTTAGTAATCTCTTCCTGCTCTTGCCTCAAATCGTCGATATAGATGCCAAAGCTGTTAACGTATTGCTCAACGATTTCGATAGAATTCTCCTGATTTTGTAATTCCAAATGTTTCTCGACATTATGAACTTCCTTCTCTACTATGAACGTCTCATATGTTATCTTCATGTGTACTTGCCAACTGCAGCTACATCGCTTACACATCCCGTCAGAATTGAATGCGGAACATTTTTTTAGGTTTTTGTGTCCGACTATATTCGCTATTTTGAAGTGTTTCTCCTTACCGGTGCCGCAATTGGTGTGACAGTGGGATTTATACTTGCACTCTTTAATTCCTTTGACGTCAACATACTCGACGCATGACGAAGCGGTACAGACCGTTCTAGGTTCGTTTAGGTTGCGCATGCGTGTCTCATATACTTTTTGAATCAGCTGTTGGCTTATCTCGTCTTTCGATGCTTTGGAATTTTTTAATAATTCGACGTGTGCCTGTTTCATTACAATGTTAAGTTGAATATTACGCGTTACTTCGGCCATCGGACTGCCTAGGGCGAGGATTGTTTGTCTCGCCGTGTTTAACGATATGGTCGATTGCACCGAATGAGGCGGGCATGATTTCGCTCGGGCGAGAAGTCGATCTATTTCTTCGACCGACTTCTCCCACGACGCGACGTAATTTCGACGTTCGTCTGGAGTGAATTTTATCCCGTTTTTTGTGGCATAAAGAAATCTGATCGCTTCGTTGTCCATGCAGTAAATTGTAGACCGATCTAACGGGATAGGGGCATGTGGGTTTTCTTCAAGCAGTTTTTCCAAAGCTGGTAACGTGTCGCCCGGGCGATAAAAGGTGGAACGGGAATTAGTAAAGCAGAAAACGATGTTGGCACACGCGTCGATATGGAGATGACTTAGCAGTTCTTTAATGCAGAATTGGAATACGATGTTGAGTCGGGCGTTGTTGGGTTTGAGCAAGATGCAAATGGCGTGAATTGAGTCGAGGTGTGAAATATGGTCGAGAATGAGTTCAAAATTTTTCTTGTCTTGTTTTACTCCGCGGACGTCGCCGATTCCGGGCGTGTCGATTAGACGGACGGTATAGCCATCTTTTGGGAAGAGGTAGGATTTCGGGTGTTGGGTGGCGGATTGCCCGACGTCCATGACTTCGTTAATATCCTGTCCGACAGTAATCAATTTTGCCTTATAGTTCTCGTCCGTGACGGTGAAAGTAGTTGGGATGATGCAATGGATGTTGTTTTCTTCGGCGGCAGAGAGGTCCGGGAAATTGACGAAGTTAGCGAATCCGTTTATCCATGTCGATTTTCCGACGCCGGTTTCGCCCAAGAGGAGGATGGTGAATTCGCGGGGAGACGAGTTGCCGGGGGTGGTGTGGGCCATGACGGGATTTTTATGAGAGGGTCAAAATTGATTATCAGCTTAGATTGTCTTGCCCTGTATAAATTTAAATTGGTCTTATAGCATTTTACAGACAAGTGATTTTGATGTTGAAACAATAAAAGTGGTAATTACAAAATAGTCGTCAAGTAGACAAGTGAATTTATTTAACATGTTGTATATTGCGTAATATATTATGCGAGACACAAATTGACATGGTATTTATAATCAGTACAAGTTCCAACCTTGGCCTTGTACTGATAAACACATTATCTTAATTTGCAAATTATAGGTCGACATGGTTACTGAGATATGCCATCAGACATAAAACTGCAGGTTATTCAATATGGAAAAATATTGCCATACACTCTAAATAAAAATGAGTAAAATTTACCTACTCAAGCTTGGGTAAAAAAGAGGATGACACAACTAGAAGGTAAAATTTGTCCAACGTTGTGTAAAATTTGCCCAATGTTGGATAAATTTTACCTTTTAGTTGTGTCATCCTCTTTTTTACCCAACCTTGAGTAGGTAAATTTTACTCATTTTTATTTAGAGTGTACAGTATCTAATACAGGGCAGGCCATATCCAACAAATAAAACGAATGCCGAGAGGAATATTATTGATCCGTAGATAACTAAAGACCGATATGAGATCAAATATATCATAAAAACTTGGTTATGGTTAATCTATCAAAACCGCAGCATTTTCTTGGTTCGAGGTAGAGATGTGCATAGGGCAGGGTATACCCTAAAAAAACCCTACCCTGCCCTACCCTATAGGGCTTTGGGCGGGCGGGCTTTTATTACCCTGAATTTTTAAGGGTAGGGTAGGGTAGGGCTTTTTTAAGTAGGGTATAGGGCCGGGCGGGCTTTTTTGTATGTACATCAATATGCTGTAGGGCAGGGTAGGGCTTTTCTGCTTTACAATAACGCAGTCAACCATCGAGCAGGCCATTAGAAATGAGACGCGGGACAATCTTGTCATCTTTCTGCTGTATTAATTCACTTGTGTTACAAGTACTTAAAATTGATTATACTATGGAGATTGAATACTCCATGTTGACATTTTTTACTGGTGTGGCGACACAAAATTTGGAAAGGTGCAAAAAGACTGTCCAAATTTCTTGTGCCACATTCCATAGATATAAAAATTGTTCAACCAAGGAGTACAAGAGCCAAGAACTTCATTTTTATCCGGTGGAAACATAACGAAATTAACTTTGATTTGCAAAATTACTAGACAATTTTTGAAGTTTTAATGTAATTATAATTTTTTTAATCATCATAATTGCGAACTAATAATATATTGATATTATTAGTTGGTTTAACATAGACAATTATGAATAGGGCCTGGGCCCGAAGCCCTATAGGGTAGGGTAGGGTTTTTATTGGTTAAGAAAATCTAGGGTAGGGCTAGGGCGGGCTTTATTTTTCCAGGGTAGGGCAGGGCCGGGTTACAATTTTACCCTACCCTATAGGGTAGGGTAGGGCTGGGCTGGGCCAAGTAGGGTATAGGGTAGGGCGGGCAATGAAAAATGCCTGCCCTGCACATCTCTGGTTCGAGGTTATGTGGCGGGTGCTGCAATGCTTAGAAGCATTGGAACTTTGATTTGAAGCCATTTGGACAATTTCCCATCGATTTTCAAAATAAAATATGTTTTGGAAACATTGAACCTTTGGCTACAATATATAATTTCAAATTTTTAAAATTTGACCTGGGTGACCTGAAATCCAGGTCACAAGGTCAAAAAGGGAAAATATTGCATTGTTCTTAAAAATGGGTCATCCTGAATTTGATTCAAAATTTTTACATCAAGTAGCTTAGGGGGGTGGGAAAATATGACCCCAAGGTCATTCAAAAAATTGTGGGTGTGGCAGGGGGTGTGGAAAAATTCAATCAGGTTCCAATTAATGAGTTTTAACACCTGAGAGCATTAGAAATATCATTATCCAATCAGGGTCACACCTATCGACAATGGTTCGATTAGTAGACTAAAATTTTGAATCCCCACCCACAGGGGGTGTGGCTTTGGCTATTTTTCGAGAAAGCATGTCGTGTGACATATCGTTTTGACCAGAAACACAAGGGCAACCTAAAAATAGTATCGAAGTTATCAAAACACACCCACATGTGGGTGTGGCCTTCAACGCTTTTGAACTTATCAAATGCGTCGTGTCACACAAATAATTGATCGGAATGGAATGAGGACCTCGTTGGTGGTCTTAAATAACAAAAAACCTCACCCTGTGGGTGTGTCTTTAGACATTGTTGCGATTAGTTTAATTCAATATCATTGGTTGCAATACTAAATACCCATGGAGAATCGACAATAGCAATTGTATCTAAAAAATCAGTATTGAGATGTAGGGATTTTTAAAAAATCTTCAAAATTTAAGAAAGTATTAGAAACGGAATATACAAAAAAATCATAATTTGGCAAATTTGCATAAATAACTAAAATAATTTAGTATTTTCGAGGTGTGCACAAATTTTGGATATGTCAAAATTTTAAAAATATTCAGAATTGAATAACCTTTGATGAATTTACATATCACGTATTACAATTAAAACAATTTGAGTGAATAATTACTGTCAAAATTCATGGTAAGTGTAAAATTGGCATTTATTTCCCAACATTGTGATGAAAATAATAATCGTCCCCGAGTAAGATTAGAAACCAGTAATACAATATATTACCATTTAGGAATTTAACTGTAAATCAGACATCTAAATCGCCATAGAACAATGTCGCTGATTATAAGGATCCACGATGAGAAACGCCGGTAGTACTTTATACGCATCCGAAAAATCTTCCAAAGTTGGCGCCATCGCCATCGTCGTCGACAACTCAGACAGGATTGACCTCTTATGAGGATCAAATAAAAACTTACTTTCAAGGTAAAAATATGAATGGCAAGTAGATAAAACTACTCTCTGAGAAATGCTATACAGGGACGCAATGGGGAGCATCGAACCAATGACCGCAACGCGAAAATTGTGTTTCAATCGATCCTTCCAGCAAAAGCATCTAAAGCCAAGCCCAATTGGTAATTAAAAATTGAATGTGATACCAGAGATAACTTTTGGTTACCGATATATTACTTGGGTTGCATGACTACTTCATGAGACTACTGCTAAAAACGCCTAAAGCTACACCCACAAGGTGTGGTTTTCTGTGATTTAAGACGACTGAGGTACTCCTTCCATTCCACTCAATTATTTGTGCAACACGACGCATTTGATAAGTTTGGAAGCCACACCCACCTGGGGGTGTGGTGTTGATAAATTCGATACTATTTTTAGGTTGCTGTTAAGTTTCTGGTCAAAATGATATGTCACACGACAAGCTTTCTCTAAAAGATAGCAAAACCGCTGAAAGCCACACCCCCTGTGGGTGGGGATTCAAAATTTTAACCTGGGAGTCTATTTTTTCTGATATGAGGTGACCACTGGGGTCCCCATTCAATTACGTTAAATTATTTGTGTCGCACCATGCACTTACAATGGTTAACGCCAAAAGCGCTAATGGCCACACCCCCCGTGGGTGAGGATTCAAAATTTTAGTCTACTAATCCAACCATTGTCGAGAGGTGTGACCCTGATTGGATAATGATATTTCTAATGCTCTCAGGTTTTAAAACTCATTAATTTGAACCTGATTGAATTTTTCCACACTCCCTGTCACACCCACAATTTTTTGAATGACCTTGGGGTCATATTTTCCCACCCCCCTAAGCTACTTGATGTAAAAATTTTGAATCAAATTCAGGATGACCCATTTTTAAGAACAATGCAATATTTTCCCTTTTTGACCTTGCGACCTGGATTTCAGGTCACCCAGGTCAAATTTTAAAAATTTGAAATTATATATTGTAGCCAAGTTCAGTGTTTCCAAAACATATTTTATTTTGAAAATCGATGGGAAATTGTCAAAATGGCTTCTAATCAAAGTTCCAATGCTTCTTAGCATGGGCGCCATCCGCCAACTCGACTCAGAAAAATGGAATAGGAAAATGCTGCGGTTTTAATAGATGAACCATAGTGATTAATGCACGAATGGGGTCACAATTTACAAACACTATTATCTTCATTCTATTAAGAATATAATTATGAACAAAAAATTTCCAAAACTACTAAACCTCGTTTAAACACGTGGATTGAAATGAATTGCTTACTGATGGCATATCTTAAATGAGAAAACTCAAATTGAGTCAACTACAATTGAGTATACGTGATTTTATAAGATTTAAAATTAGGGCGAAGCAAAATTTAGCCAGGTCACTAATTACACATTGCCGATCTCTAATTGTAGCCGGGTTGGGTGACATACAGTGTTTGATTTTAGCCCCTGCTATGAATACATTATTTACGGTATTTACATCAATTTATGGTTTCTCTTCTTTTAATCATAAAACATAATTGTAATGCCTTTAATCAAATAAAACTTACCCAACTGAACTACAAATTTGGATGGAAGGATCCTTACCTGGTCGCGTAGGACGAGACTGGAGATGTGACAAATTAATGTAGAATTATGTGTGTATAATATTTGTATTACTTAAATTTTAATGCAACTACTGCTGTAAGATTAAAATTCGTAGGACAGAATTGACATCAAGATAAGGTTGGAATTTTAGCTGATATATGTAACAACCATCCTGGTACTTCGTGCAAAACTCATACGTAATGGACTTCATCAAATGACATAAAAACCATTGACAGTTGTAGTTTAATTATATTTGGCCCAGTATAAAATTGGTCAGACTCAGAGCAAGCTTTTGGTTTTGTAAGTTACGTAATTTTATCCTTGAATTATGACGGAAATTATCCGGATATAAATAGTGTTTCCTTTTCTACAACTTAGGGGACTTCATTCCGTTGAAATTAGAATAACACATTAATTATCAGGACTGCCCGTGCCATCGCATACAGTGTACGAGCAGGCCCCGATTTATGGGCGGGCAACACGGGCAGCTGCCCGGGGCGCCAAACCCCCGGG